AACTTCTGCATAATACATTGGCAATGGTTATATACAGTATTCAGATTAGTTCAAAGACTAATTTTCGGCATTCTTCTCGGAAATATAACCACCCGCCTTAGGCGTGGCCCTCCTTGTTCCATGCTGGATCAAAAACTAGTAGAGGGTCAAATGTCCAGCCATTTTGATGGTCAAAATACAGGGGAATTATTATTACTGTACATTAGAAAAGATTGAGAAACAAGATAGTCTATTATACATATATTGTTATAGTCTTCATTTGTAATTTTTAAACTAATTTTTATTTTTATATTACAAAAATTATTATATTAATGAAATAATAAATTCTATTCAAAATAATTGTTTATTAATATTAATAAAATAATTGCTATGTTACACCACTTTGCAATGCATTTGAATATGGGCTTTTCACAGTGATGGTTAATTAGAATATATGTTTTCAACAAAAATTATCATTGATGATTAGTGCCAGAATGATTAATTCCTTATAAAGACATTGTAATATCAATACTAATTATTTTTGAATGGTGTAAGAATAGTCACTCTGATTTGTCTGAACTAGTCTGTTCAAACTTTTTATTGTACTTCTCTTCTTACAGGAAATGCCGACATGTTGGATATCAATGGCTTTCATTTGGTAGGTGTTTAACAGGCTAAAGAAATCTGACAGAAGGGTCATCCCATCTTGCACTGTGTGGGCGATTAGGGACAAGCTCCCAGAAGCTTTGAAGACTGCCCTGGGTTTTTTTTATGCTATAGAAGATGATGAAATAAACTTTGGCCCAACGTAGGCGGCGCCCTTCTTTTTAACCTGTGTCTTATACACATCTAGGTAACCTTCCAGACCTAGTCTGTAATTGAAATTGTTGCTATTGATGCGGATAGGCCAGCAAAGTTGATTTCAAGAACATTTTGTCGTTAAGTACAGTACAATGTTTTTTGTATCTTCCCCACTCTCGTTTCATATTTTAAAATTTTAAGCTAATACAGTATGAATTAGAATTTTGTGTACAGTAAATAAATGTAACTTGTTCTTCCCTATTCTTTACATTGGTATAAACTATAGTAACTATAAATCCATATATATAATAGGGGCCTAGGTCTATTATCTGTCTCTTATACACATCTTAGTGATATATATTGTAATACCTGACTGCTTTAATCTGTGTACAGTAAAACAATTTTATATTAACTGTGAGAAAATACACTTGTAATAAATTATTTGCAATGTACAAGGATGATAAATTGTTTCAAAATATATATTTAATAACACCAGTAGTCTTGAATTAACTGTATGTACAACAATAACTAAGTGAAGCACCAAAAATATGGATGTTGAATATCATCATGAAAGAAGAAATCTTGGCTATGGTAAATAATACAAGACGATCAGATATGATAAATAGAGCAGTGCAGTTAAACTTGCCTAAGACGACTAAATAATATACTCTAATGATTTCTAAGTCGATCTAATTTTACATGCCGAATGTGTTTTCCATTACCGTAAGTGCAAGTCAAATTTTGTTAGGGTCAAACAATTTCTCAATGGCATTTTGGATATGACATAGGCAAGTTCAACTACTGTATTTTAAAATACTAAACAAAAAATGGTGTACAGCAAGAAAATTGAAACTTTTTCTTAAATTCCAACACCAAATTGATCAGCATGCAGACATAGGCATAATCCAGACATTAAAAAAATAAGCAGTTTCATAGAATAACTTTACACAAGACTGTACAAAGCCATATATTAAAATAGTTGTTCCTGTATATATTGAGCCACATTTTCATACTGTACTATCAACTTCGCACATTACATATTTCAAAATTAATCCTCACAATTTGTTTTCTAAATCTGGGATCACATAATTGCTTCAAAAGGATCAGTACTATTGAATGGGATTATAATACCATTTAATAATATTAAAGATATTTTGCAAGTGAAACAGGTACAGTAATACTGGTACAGTATTTATTTATTTATTATAAATTTGGCATGCAATATAAACCAGATGCTGCAATATAAACCAGATGCGTAAAAAACAAAAACTTAAGTGTGTGGCATTTCAGTATATCTTCATAAAAAAAAAATCACTAGATAAATCATTTTAATTTAATTCTTTGGAAATATTTTGGATTCAATCACTTGCTGCAGAGCTCTGAGCATCGCCACCTTCTGCTAACCATGGATTGGGCATGTCCATTTCATCATGTCCACACAGATGGAATTGTTTGTATCACATCCATCTGAGCCAGTCATTTGCTCCTATTGAGGAATAAATACAGTAGTTACAATAATGCAAATGTTATCAAACATTGGCATTTGCTGCTTTATCAATAACATACCATACTGAGATACTGTATGTACTAATCTGAAAAGACATTCATCAATTGACAGTATTTTCAGATTTTTTAATTACTTGATTGAAGCCTTCCTGTCGGCTAGTGTGTAATGTATTATTGTTGTTTCTTAATAAAACTGACACACCATGCTGATATTTTTTTACCATTCCAATATATTTGTTTCATGTACTCTGGCTGAACAGTGATGAAATATTCACTTAATTTTTTTTTCTCACCTTAAATTGTGTGTATAGCTTTCATTACAAGTTTCAGCAAACAACCAGAGTGTTTCTTGCTAACGTCTTGCTGGGTGCTTGTATGCTTTGTACCACCTTCTTTCGTAGATGCCAATGTTTCTTATACGTTGGGTGGTTGTACTCATGGCAAATGTTGTGGTATGTTTGTCTCATCATGGCGACTGGCAAATACCTATGTGAGGAGAGTGTCATGTTTCGGCCTATCACATATCTTGTCCTACAAAAATATGTATGTATAATATTTTATTTGAATTGCACATTTCAACAACAGCTGAAAGTTAGGTTTGGAGTAACATATGCATCATGTTATTATTTAATGGGGCATTATTGTTGTATAGCCTAGCTTCTAGGCCTACAGTATATCAATAATAATCTTATTGTTACAGGAATTGGGGTTGGCTCTGATGATATACTGTAGTGTTATAGCACATCACCTTTATTTAGACAGTGCATTTTTTTAGACATTTAGGCCTAGGCCTAGACAGTTTTTCATAGGACCAGGCCTATAGTATACTATTATTAGTAGGCCTAAGGGCCTAGGTCTATTATTATGAAAAAAAAATGCACTAGCACAATTAATGTGACAAAGATGGCATGGCATGACAAGTCTAGGCTAGGCTAGTAGTAGAAACCTACTATCTTTACCGTCACCTGGATAAGGCTGCGTGCGAACTCACCTGCTGCGGGACTGGAGCAGTGTCCCGGACAGGAGTGCGCTACTGCTGCTGGGTAGACACTGACTGTGCTAATCCTAGGCATAGGTGTAGGCCTAATTATAAACAAACAAGTCAAGTCATCGGACTGATATACGTTTATTAATTCAATTGAATTATTCCTCCATGATTGAATTGACGTTGACTAAACCGTCTCTCTGTAACTGCGTACGTAAACGATCACAAAAACTCACAACTTCACACTAGTGTACTGTATCTAGGCTAGTCGCTCGATCGTCGGGACGATTTTTCGATCAGCTGCTCGCCAGAAATTAATTGACAGACTTGTCTTGGATATTAATGAGTTGGTTAGAAAATGCTACCAAGCTACTGAAAAAAGTGATCAGCCTTGTTTTCACCTGATTTTCCTGTGTCATCATATCATGTTTTGTTTCTGTAATTATCCTTACATCTCAACATTTTGAATTTTTTACGTATTTTTCCCGAACTCAGGAAAGGTTAAATAACCAATATATGGCCACTTGTCTCATCCCCGCACCCCCCCTTTAAACAACAATGTTAAAGACATTACACTCCTCGCCTGATGTGTCGCAACACATCACCCAAACAATAAAGAATGCAAATTATGAATCAAGGCATAATATACTAAAAATCGTAGGAATTCAAAAGAAACACATATTATCATCCACATAAGTATTTTAACAATTTCACCTACTGTAATTATTTTCGCATTATCAAAGGTTCTTCAAGTTTCAGATTCTAACAATAACACAAGTTCATTAATACGCCTTTTTCACGAATCGGTAGACATCTTGAAGTGATGACAAACATTGTGAATCAGCGGTGCGTAACCAACAGAAATAAGATAAGCTTTTGGGCGGATTTTTTGACATCATGTTATTTAAAAAATCATAACTCTATAACGGGGTGTCGTATCCAAAAACAAATTCCAGCAAAATGTTCTTAAAAGACTAGTCTACACCACTATATGATTGAAAAAAAATTGAAAAATTTTGTTGACCTCTGAAATCAAGATTGAAAAATAAAAGCCTATCTCAGTAGTGTATTAAAATATAAAATAGGTATATGCATTACAGTGCTGTAGTACTAGTAATACTCTGAACTAGCATTGTTTTAGTTACCATATGAGAGTTTCCTGTGTTAAAAACATGATTTACTATACTATACCTCTTTATAAAACTTAACTTGTACTTTGTAATAAGAGAAATATGTACATTATCGCTACTTGGAACAGTAACAACTCGAAAGTCCTATGCTACTGCACTGTAATGCATTGGCCTATTTTAATACACTACTAAGATAGGCTTTTCTTTTTCAATCTTGATTTCAGAGGTCAAAAAAGATGTGTATAAGAGACAGGGTGTAGACTGGTCTTTTAAGAACATTTTCCTGGAAACACTTTTTGGATACGACGCCCCGTTATGGAGTTATGATTTTTTAAATAACATGATGTCAGAAAATCAGCCCAAAAGCTTATCTTATTTCTGTAGGTTACGCACCGTTGACTCGCAATGTTTGTCATCACTTCAAGATGTCTACCGATTCGTGAAAAAGGCGTATTGGTCTTGTATATGTGTTCTTTGAGGACGGAACACGAACTTCTACTTTTCGCACTCTTCCATCGTCGCTTGGATAAACTTGTGTGATAATGCCAGTCGGCCACTGATTTCTCTTTGCCTGGTTATCTCGAAGCAGGACTACATCGGAAACCTGGAAATTCCTTTGGTCAGTACACCACTTTTGCTTTTGTTGTAAACATTGTACCATTTTCCAATGGGCTCGATACATATTGCTGGTGTCTTTGTCGACAACCATCTCTTCGACACAACCACTCTTCTGGGTCAACAACATAGACGGGCTTAACACGGTCGCATCTTGTGGGTCATTCACTCACTGAGACAATGAACAACAACATAACATAACATAACTTTATATCCAGACGCAAAACAAAACCACATCTAAGCAAAGATACTAGAAATACAAGATAGAGTTCTCGCATTGTCAAAATGAGGCGGAAGTCGTGCCCAACGTAGGCGGCGCCCTTCTTTTTAACCATGCAAGTTTCCTATATTTCGTGCCCAACGTACAGGGCGCCCTTCCGTTGCTAAGTATATCCAGACGCAAAAGGCGCCCTTCCTTTTCCACTAATGGAGGAAAACTTTTTCACTAAGAATGCGTCCGGCCATGCGATTCTGCACTCTATTGTTGTTTTATTTTTTCACTGATTCATGATTATGCTTTAATTGTTTTGTGTATTATTTGGATAATAGCAACGA